GGAGGGGAGGAAGAGGAGGGGAGGAGGAGGAAGGCAGGAGGAAGAGGAGGAGGGAGGAAGAGGAGGAAGGGAGAAGGAGGGGAGGAAGAGGAGGAGGAAGAGGTGAGGAGGAGGGGAGGAGGAAGAGGAGGAGGGGAAACAATCAAGTAGTAGGCCCTTCCTCTCTCTTACTCTTTGCTCCATGTTCATTGAACCAACCGCAACAACACAACAACCTCGGCAGCAGCTACTGGCTCAGTTGCTGACCTTGAAAGGGCTCAACACAGCTGGATCGTGGCAAGCTGCTTGACCTTCAACAGCTGGCCCTAAAACCCTTGAGAAGAACTACAGAATCCAAGGACTCGGAATCCGCAGCTTCTCAATTCTCCACAAAGAGTTCCGCCCTCCTCACCTCAGCTCCAATGGACGGCTGTAGCCACTGTCTTCGGGGCGCAGCATTTGGAGAAGAGGGTCCTTCTGCAAGACCCTTTGAAAAGCTACGATGCTGCTGCTCGGGAACCCAGCGGCATAAATCCTAGGGCTGGAAGGGGCTTTGGAGGTCTTCTAGTCCAACCCTTTGCCTGACACCTTCTTGAATCTTGGACAAACGGCTGTCCAATTTTTTCTGGAAGACCTCCATCGATGGAGCAGCAGCCCGAGGACTCCTCAAGAGGTTGCTTCCTCCACACTTTCCTTTCTTACACCCTCTTCTTGGTCATTGCCATCAGCCTCCACAAACTCTCACACGGGCCAGGAGGGGGCGCTCTGGCCACATCGCTGAATTTGGATGAGTTGCTAAGGTCAAGAGATGCCAACTGGAGATCTTGTTCATCTTGCAAAATTCTCTGGGGGGGGGGGTGGAGAGAGAAATTTCTCCAGTTCACGTTGATGTTAAGATGTCCCAGAGAGGGAATAAATCACGCCCGGTGCCCAAATGGATCTTTTTCCTACATGATCCGCCGTCCAGATCTGAAGAACCCCGGCGGCAAGGGAGCGGTATTTAAGAGGGTTTAGTGAAAAGGCGAACGACCAAAGTGCTGCGGAGGTCTGGACCTTGTGAGTCACAACCCATCTTGTGAAAACATCCGCTTCTATTTTCCCCGGCCTAATTCCTAGATCTTTTCTGTTTTCAATGTTGACAGCTTTATTTGGTATTTTATTTTATTTTATTTGGTATTTTGGGGAAACTGCGCAGTCTGGATTCATTTGCCAATCGGAACAAGAATCTAGTCGACTCATAGTCAGCACTAAATTGGCCCTAGATAACCCTTAATGGAATTCAAGAGGGGTTCGACTTAAGGCCGCTTGTGGGAACGTGACAACTCCAGGCTGGTTCCTCTCCTGACTCCACCCCAGATTCTACCTCTGTCTCCTAGATGTAGCACCCAAATCAATAAGATGCATTAACGGAATAACAGAAGAATAACAGAGTTGGAGTGAATAGAATAGAGCTGGAAGGGACCATGGAGGTCTTCTAGTCCAGCCCCCTGCTCAAGCAGGAGAACCTATACCATCTCAGACACTAGTCTAGTGTCTCTTCTTAAAAACCTCCAGTGATGGAGCGCCCACGATTTCTGAAGGCCAGCGGTTTCATTGGTTAATTGTCCTCACCGTTAGGAAGTTTCTCCTTAATTCCTGGTTGCTTCTCTCCTTGATTAGTTTCTTGTCCTGCCTTCAGGTGCTTTGGAGAATAATTTGACCCCCTCTTCTTTGTGGCAGCCCCTCAAATAATGGAAGGAACCTTGGAGGTCTTCTAGTCTAACCTCTTATTCAAGCAAGAAACCCTATACCATTTTAGACAAATGGCTGTCCAGTCTCTTCTTAAAAACCTCTAGTGCTGGAGCACCCCCAATTTCTGGAGGCAAGCTGTTCCACTGGTTAATTGTTCTAACTGTCGGTTCTCTCCTTGATGAGTTTCCATCCGTTGCTTCTTGTCCTGCCTTCAGGCGCTTTGGAAAATAGCTTGACTCCCTCTTCTTTGTGGCAGCCCCTGAGATATTGGAACCCTGCTGTCATGTCCCCCCTCGTCCTTCTCTTCGTTAAACTAGACAGACCCAACATTTGTCCGGCACAAAGATGATTAGGGGACTGGAGGCTAAAATATATAAGGAACGGCTGCTGGAATTGGGTATGTCTAGTTTAATGAAGAGAAGGACAAGGGGGGACATGATAGCAGTGCTCCAGTATCTCAGGGGCTGCCCCAAAGAAGAGGGAGTCAAGCTATTCTCCAAAGGGCCGGAAGGCAGGACAAGAAGCAACGGGTGGAAACTAACCAAAGAGAGAAGCAACCTAGAACTAAGGAGAAACTTCCTGACAGTCAGAACAATTAACCAGTGGAACAACCTGCCTCCAGAAGCGGTGAATGCACCAACACTGGAGGTTTTTAAGAAGAGACTGGACAGCCCTTTGTCCGAAATGATATAGGGTTTCCTGCCTGAGCAGGGGGTTGGACTAGATGACCTCCAAGGTCCCTTCCAACTTTACTACTACTACTACTACTACTACTACTACTACTATTATTATTATTATTATTATTATTATTATTATTATTATTATTATTATTATTATTATTATCATTCCGGATCTCCCCTCCTTCCGCCGCGCCCTCAAGACATGGCTATTCCAACTAGCGGGGCTGGCCTGAGGGGTATTTTAGATTGATTTTAATTTGATTTTATATTGGGTGTTTATAAAATTTTAAATGAAACAGCAAAATTAATATTTTCTTTTAATAGTATTTTAAAATGGTGTTTTGTAAGGTTTTTTATCTGTTTTTAGCTTGCTGTAAGCCGCCCTGGGTCCGCCAGGAGAAGGGCGGGGTATAAATCTAATAAAATCTAAATCTAAAATCTAAATCTAAATCTAAAATCTCCCGAAACCGCAGTGCTGACCAATCCTCTCCAAATCACGATTGGTAACCCTAGAAAACAAACTCACCAAATAACCCAACGAGCTAGAGATCTGTTTTGGACCGCAAGCCAACCAAAGCTCTTTCTGGAGGTGGAAGGGGCCAAGAAACCTCACCACCTTCACATTATAACGGAAGCCACAATTTGAGAGCGTTTGCACCCAACATTTGTGAAATGGCATCTTTGGGGTCAAGTGATGACACTATCCTCGGTGAAAAGAGCTCCCGTCATCACTCACCGAAAGGGCAGGGATGGCATGAATGGTTTCATTTCCTACCTCCAGGATAAATTCCTTTTGTTCCACTTGGTAGATCCCTGGGTAGATCGTTTCTTCCTCGACTTTGCTTCTGCAAGATCCGGCAAAGAGCAGCGGGGTGTTTTCATCAATTTGAAGGTGGCTTCATCTACAGATTCCCCCCCAGAGAC